CAGCTGTGCAGCCCAGGTGCCAGACACGAGAGCAAAGAAGCCTCTGGATGATTCTAGCCCTTGCTGCCATTTACCAGCAACTGCACGAGGGCCCAGCGGCAAGACACCTCCACCCCCCCACCCTCAGCAGAACCCAGCCACCCTCAAAACTGTGAGAGAGAAAACCAAATGGTTGCTTTAAGCCTCTAAGTTGTGGAATGGTTGTTATGCAGCAAGAGACCACTGGAACATCTCTCCCCACTGACTCCACTTCTAGATGGATGAAAGCATGAAATTCCAAACCACATGTCCATAGAGATATGTGTACAGGGATGTGCATTCGGATGTTGTTTATAACACTGAAAAAGTGCCAACAGACTAAGTGTGCATTGATAGGAGATGGAGAAATAAAGTGGGGCGTAAACATTGGATGAAATATGATACAGCTGTTAGGAACAAACTAAATCCAAATGCATCATCCTGGATAAATCTCAGAAACCTTCTGGAAAACACCTGGCTGATTCTTTAAAATAATAAGGATCCTGAAAGACACATAAGAAAGCAAAGGGATTACTGTAGATTAAAGGAGACTAAAGAGAAATGACAGCTAAATACAATATGTGACCCTTGATTGGAATATATATATATATATTATATATATATACATATATATATGTGTGTGTGTGTGTATATATATATATATATTACTGTGTATTAGGTAAGATTATTGTATCTATAGTATTTTATCAATGTTCAATTTGTCACATGTGATAATGGTACATGATTATGTAGGAGAATATCTGTGTCCTCAGGAGATACTAAGTAAGAAGCTGAAGTAGCCAGTGGTTTAGCAAAATGTGTACAGGTGTGTATAGTGTAAGAGAAAGAAAGCAAATGTGGCAAAATGTTCACAGTTGTGAGCCTATGGGGAGGCTATTATATTATTCTTGCAACTTTTCTCTATATTGATTTTACTGATACGTAAAACATGAATGAATCTCAGAAGCATTATGCTACACTTATCTAAGAAGCCAAGCACAAGAGACCATATTCTATGCATGATTCCACTTAGAGAGCACTCTGGAAAAGACAAAATGATAGTGCAGATCAGTGGTTGCCAGAGGCTAGCAGTGGGGAGGGAGATTGACTACAGCGGGTCATGGGGAATTTTTAGGGTGGTGAAAGTGTCCTATGTCATGATCATGGTGGCAGTTATGTTATTGCATATACTTGTCAAAAATTCATCAAATGAAACACTTAAAATTGGTGAATTTTATTATATAAAAATTATTCCTTGTAGAGGGTTGAATTGTGTCTCCAAAAAAGATAAATCCAAGGCCTAACTTCCAGTCCCCGAGAATGTGACATTATTTAAAAATAGGGTCTTTGCAGATGTAAGTTAAAGATCTCAAGATGACACCAGCCTCGATTTAGGATGGCCCCTAAATCCAATGACTAATGTCCTTGTAAGAGAAAGTAGAGAGGGAGGTGAGACCCAGGGACACAGAGACCTAGAGGGGAAGATCATGCGAAGATGGAGGCAAAGATAAGAGTGATGCGGCCACGAGCCCAGGAACGCCAAGGACTGCCAGCAGCACCAGGAGCTGGGAGAGAGGCATAGACTAGATCTCACCCCCAGAGCATCTAGAACAAACCAAACTGCCCACACCTTGATTTTGGACTTCTGGCCTCCAGAACTAAGAGAAAACAAATTTTGTTGTTTAGTAATTGGTTACAGCAGCCCTAGAAAACGATGACCTATCTCAATAAAGTTGACATATTTTTTTAGTTGGGGAAAAAAACTCGGAAACATCAGGTTAAATGGAAAAAGCAAGCTGCAGAACAATGCATTCAGTGTGTGACATATTTTATATAAAGGCTGTAAATGCTCTCAGTAGTACTACCTATTGCTCATAGACTTCGTGTATATAGTAAAAGCCTGGAGGCACCTCAGTCTAGAATTGGGCCGTTCCCACTGGGCAGGGCAGACAGTGGGGCATTCTGCTGGCCTCTGGGTGCCCCACATAGACTACCCAAAGCATTGTGAGGTCCTGGAAGGCTTCTCCTGGGAAGAGACCCCAAGGTGAGGCTTGGAGCATTAGGAGCCCAGAAGGGGCTGGGAACGTCGGGAGAGCATTCCACGCTGAGCATGGGCCTGGAGGTTCCAGGAGGCCAGCTTGTTTGGTGTCAGCTGAAGAGCATAAGATGGCTGCGATCACATTGCCTCTTTTATCTGGACATAGCCCAGCCTCCCTAGAGCTTTTCTTGGGCCACTCTGTCTCTTCTATCCATCTTCCTCGTGGAATCAGCAGGGAGGCTGGGAGAAGGCAGCTGGGGGTTGGGGAGAGAGGCTGGGAGGCCTAGATTCAGGTCCAGCAGGGTGGCTGAAGGCCAGAACTCCTGGGTCCACGGGAGACTAGGGGCCAGATTCAAATGTCTGAAGAGTGACAGGGGCTAGGAGCCAGGCACAGATCTGCCATGTAGGCACAGGCCAATCACTTCTCCCTGAACTGGTTCACTGTTTGAAGGATATGACCTCATCGGGTTGCTGTGAGGATGAAACGCATCATAACATGCATGGTGAGTCACCTCATGTGGCCAGGCCGAGGATCACTGGCACTAAGTGCTGGCACTTCACCCTCATTTAATCCTTATAATCCTGTGATCTAGGACTTATGGCCCCTATTTTACAGATGGGAAAACTGAGGGCTGCAGAGGTTAAACAACTAGTGGCATAGGCGCACACAGCTGGTAAGTGGCCAGACTGGAATCCGGGCTGAGGCTGTGATGCAGCACCCACGAGTCAAGCTTATTTGCTGGTTCATTTCTGGTTTATGAGTTGACGCTCCTTCTAGCTCCTGGGTGGGATGTGGACCTCTTGGGAGCTAGGCCTTGACCATTTCATCTCCAGGGGAGCCCTGTGCCAGGAGTGGGGCTCAGGAAAGGTGTAATGAGTGTGGGTGGGGCCCAGGGTGACCCTAGCATTTGAAGGGGGTCAGGTGGCAGCACCAAGGGGAGACTGGGGTGTCTCCAGGCCTGCAAAGTCCACCAGGCTGCTCCCACAGGTGCTGTGGGAGAGCACGGAGGTCCTGCTAGGCAATGCAGCCCTCAGACCCCTTTGCAAAGGAATTGGCCTTTCTACTCTAGGCTGGCAGGAAGCCTTGTCCCAGCCCTGCAACCCAGGAGCCCCAGTCCCTAAAACACCCCTCCAAGGAGTCCTTGCACCCATTTTCCCACAAGTCATGAGTCCTAGCTCCCATCTTCCTCCTATTTTTCTAGGACTCAGCCAAAGAGGACATAGTTCCCCATGACTCAGGCATCTTGACCCCCAGCCAGAGGGATACAGGACCCACTGGTGCTGGCTGGCAAAGCTGGTTATGTGTACTCCACCCATATCCACAATCAACAATGTCATGTTGGTAGCTTGAAATCAGCCACGAAGGGAGTATTTACACCACAGAAATTGGCAAATGCAACAAATCCAGGCTTTGTTTTTCCCAGACAGCCTGTTGTTAAATAGTTATCGGCACACCACTGCTCCCAGCCGTCCGTCTGTCCCTGCTCACCAGGCCAGGAGCCCCTGTCACAGAAACCCAGGGAGCCCTGGAAGTCTGAGGAGACTTGTGACAAGCAACAAGGCCATGGCTGGGGCATCACCCACATGCCAAGGCTGTATTGGGCTGGACCCCGGAACCCAGCCTTGGATCCTCCAGTCTCCATTCCAAGGCCTCTGTCCCACACTGGAGTACAGCACCCAGCTCTGCTCAGCCTGGGGACCGAAAGCCCCAAGCTGGGAGCCACACAAGCAAGTCACTTTAGCTGTCCTCGCCTGCAACACGGGCATCAGTATGACAGCACACACCCTAAAGTCACACTTCTACAGGTCACATTCAAGTTCTGTCCATGCGACCCTAAGCAAGTTAGATCCTCCCTGAGCCTCAGCTCCCTCATCTGTAAGGTAGGGATAAAGTAGTTCCTGTTTCATTACGATGTCATGAAAGTAAACAAGTTGGGCCTATAAAAGACCTGACTTATCAGAGTGCTTAATGTGTGAGATGTATTATTATCATTGTTAATAATTTCCTATCCCAAACCACCATGAGATATCACCTCACACCTGTCAGAAGGGCTATCATCAATAAATCACTTCTGTGTATTTACCTGAAGAAATCCGAAACACTCATTCGAAAAGATCCATGCACCCCCCCCCCATGTTCATTGCAGTATTATTTACAATAGTCAAGATATGGAAGCAACCTAGGTGTTCATCAGTAGACGAATGGATAAAGAAGAAGTGCGGTAGGTATACAATGGAATATTACTCAGTCATAAAAAAGAATGAGATCTTGCCATTTATGACAACATGGATGGACCTACAGGGTATTACACTAAGTGAAATAAGTCAACAGAGAAAGACAAATACCATATGATTTCACGTATGTGTGGAATCTAAAGGAAAAACAAAAAAGAAACAGACTCATAGATACAGAGAACAAATTGATGGTCACCACATGGGCAGGGGGTTGGGAGATGGGTGAAAAAGGTGAAAGGGGTTAAGAAGTACAAATTACCAGTTATAAAAATAGTCACGGGGTTGCAAAGTACAGAATAGAGAACATAGTCAACAATACTGTAACTACTACGAATAGTGACAGGTGGGTACTAGAATTATTGGGGTGAATACTTTATAAGGTATATAGATGTCTAATCACTATGTGGTACACCTGAAACTAATGTAATATAGTATATCAACTGTAATTGAAAAATACATTTTAAATATATAAACAAATGAAAAATAATTTCCTATCTCACAGAAGAGTTGTGAAGGGAAAGGAGCCGACCTCATGCTCAGCGTGAAGTCTGCACACAGTAGGTGCTCAATTAATGGCTGTCCTGTTTCTGATGGCAGCAAGATGGGCCAGTGCCTCTGACCTGGGTTAAAGTGCCTTTCCTTGGGCCCCACCCGGCCATTCCGGCCACCAGGGGGCGCCTCAGCCCTGCCAGCGGCACCGCCCCCTCACCTGTGCAGGCTGTGCACCTGGCGCCGCCTCCGGAAGAGAGGAAGAGAGGAGCGGGGACCGCGGGGATCTCGGAGGGAGACCAGCGTCTTGGGGTGAGAGCCTAGGGGGCGCCGATGACAGGGACCCCACGAGCTTCAGGCAGGACAGAGCCCGGGCGAGTTGGCGCGGTTGGCTGGGTGGTAAGGGCACCGAGAATGACTCCTGGGGCTAGGAAGCAGGAGAGGCTGGCAGGAAGGAAGGTGGTGGCTGGGCTTCGGACGCCTGGGGCTGGGGGGTCGAGGGGCTGGGGGCCATGACGTCTGGGTTGAGGTGCTAAATGGTAGCTCCATGCATGACCGGGGAGAAAGAGGGACGCCCTCAGGTCTCCAGAGCAGGGTCAGGTCCTCAGGGGACACGGCGGAGGTCCCCTGGTCAGGCCTGAGGACAGCTGGATTAGGACTACAGTGACACCTGGGTCTGGAGAATAGGGCTGGGTTTAGACACCTGGCAAGGGGAGGAAAGTGAGGGGGCGGGGGAGGGGGAGGTCCCAAAGGACTGGAGTGGAGGATTGTACCAGGGAGCCCTGTGTGTTCAGTCCCTCTGGAGCCCCTGAACTGCCAGGCCTGGGAAGCTCTAGGGAAGTGCCACCAGGCTCCTGGCTCCTGTCCCCAGGGGCGGAGCAGGGAGTAAACAGAAACCTGGATTGGCAGGGCAGCAGTCACTGCCCCAACCTGTTATCTCACCCTGCCCTGGTTGGGGCTGACACCTAAGGCCCTGGGAAACTGAGGATCTGGGACCAACACTCCAGGAGGGGGGTGCTGAGGGTCTAGGCACCTGAGTACTGAGGGGTGGGGACCAAAACACCTGGGTCCTGAGAAAACAGAACTGCTCCAAGATACCTAGGACAGCATCTGAGTCCTGAGGAGCTGGGAACCTGGGCTTCTGGAAGAGGAGGAGGCTGGATTACTGGGGACTAAGGGGTCAGGACACCTAGGTTCCCAAGGCCCTGTGTTCTTGGAAGGAGAAAGGTGTGGACTTGTCCCTGAGTCCTGAGTCCCTAAGAACCTGGGTTCTGGGAAGAGTTTCCTAGCTGATAAGGAGCTGGGAGGAGGGGGGCGGGGACTGTCAGTGGGGTGGCCCGTGGCCCAGAGTACTGGGACAGGTTTCCTCGGGGCAGAGAATGACTGCCAGAAGCAGAAGGCAGGGCAGCCCATTTCCTACTTCTCCCTGCCTCGGTTTATTCTGGGGAATAAATGGAGGTAAGTGGCCAAAACACAGATCATTAACCCTTCATGGCCCAGGGAAGCCCTGGCTGCAGGACTGGGCAGGCGAGTGGGCAGGTGAAGAATTAAGGGAGGGCCAGGTCTTAGCCAGCAAGGGGCAAACCCCAGCTGCAAGTAGAGTATCCTGCAGTTACCTGTCCCCACAGACCTACCTGTCCCCACAGATGCTGCAGGCACCATGAGCTCCCCGGAAGGGCCAAGCTTCCCATCCGGGCTGCTCTCAGGGGGCGCCTCTCCCAGCGGCGACGAGGGTTTCTTCCCCTTCATGCTGGAGCGGCGGGACTCATTCCTGGGAGGGGGCCCAGGGCCTGAGGAGCCGGAGGATCTGGCCCTGCAGCTGCAGCAGAAGGAGAAAGACCTGCTGTTGGCCGCGGAGCTCGGCAAGATGCTTCTGGAGCGAAATGAGGAGCTGCAACGGCAGCTGGAGACGCTGAGCACCCAGCACTCTGAGCGTGAGGAAGTGAGCTGGCAGCAGGGGTGGCAGGCAGGAGGGAGGGGTGGCAGAAGGAAGACAGGTGGCAGGGGCCAGGCAGGTGGGCAGGGGGAGGATAGATGGGCAGGGGAGGAAAGCCAGGCAGGAGGACACTTCTGGAATAGTTCAGGGATGGACCCAGTCCCCCTGGCAGTATTGTCTGGCGGTTAAGAACACAGGCTCTGAGGACAAGTCAAGACCTACGTTCAGACCGCTGCCTGGCTGTGACCCTGGGCAAACCGCTGGCCCTCTCTGGATCTTGGGTCTGGCTCCTCAGCAGGATAGTACAACCCTAGCCAAGTTTCTGGGCACCTCCTCCCCACCTGGTTCTAAGCTAAACACTTTCCATGTATCATCTCGGTCAATTCTCACCCAACCCTGTGAGATAGAAATAGCTCTTCTCACTGCCCAGGTTCTCTTGTCAGCCACATTGTCACTCTGGGGTCACATCTGGCCCCTAAACACCCTGGACTCCACTGACTCCTGGATCCATGCATCGGCCCCAACTGCTGCCCTGAGCCCAACCTGGGTAGCTTATTGCCCCACACCTCTCCACCAGGCTATTTAATAGGCATCTCAACATAAGTGACACTCTTATGACCCTATCACCCACTGTCCCTATCCCAGCTTCCCACCTCAGCACCAGACCCTGAGCCTCTCCATGACCTCTTCTCCTACATCTCCCACTTCTAAACCACATTCTGAGTCTACCCACTTCTCATCATCTCTGCAACCTCCATCACCTCTGCCCCAGACACTGAAGCTGGTCCCCAGCTTCTGTTCTTGCTTCCTGGAGCTGATTCTCCATGGGACAGCCAGAGGGATCTTCAAAAATTGCAAATCAGATCATTTCAGTCCTTGCTCAGAATCTTCCAACGACTCCTCATCACATGTAGAATAAAAACTAACTCCTCACCAGGGCCTAGAAGTCCCCATGGGCGGCCTCCCTGACCTCGGCTCCATGTACCACCCCTTCTCCAGTGGGGCCTCTTTTCAGTTCCTGAGTAACCCAAGCTTATTTCCTCAGGGCCTTTGCAGTTGCTGTTCCTTGTGTATAGCCCGCTTCTTGCCCTGCAGGAGTCAATTCAGACATCACTTTTTCCCGAAGGAGCCCCCACCCCACCCTGCTTCTCTTCATCACTTTCCAGTTTCTTTATAGCCCTGCTGTCCCACCCAAACTACCTAGTTCAAGCATGCGTCCATTTGCCTCAGACCCTCTGGAGTCTAAGGTGTTTGAGGCAGGGAATCTGATGGTCTCGCTTACTGCTGACAGCCTGACCCCAGAACACAGCTCAGAAAACACTGGATGGATGGGTGGATGGATGGATGGATGGATGGATGGATGGATGGGTGGATGGATGGATGGATGGGACATGGAGATATTAAGGGACTTGCCTGATCACAAAGCAGCAGCAGGGCTGGGTGCTGGCCAGAACAAGTGCATCACAATCCTGTGGGCTTAATCCTAGAGCTGTTTGCCCCCACAGCATTTGGTTAAGAGCTTGGCTGTCTGGGTTGGGATCCCTGCTCCACTGACTCACTGTGTGTCCTTCCTTGGGCAAGGCATTTCACCTCTCTGAGCCTCCATTTCCTCATCTGTAAAATGAGGATATTAATGATTCTAACTCTAGTGAATTACATGAAATAGTACAGGTAAAGCACTAGCACAGGACCTGGCAGGAATACTGCTAATAACTGTAGCAGCTATGGTTAGCATTACCTTCCAGCTCTGAGAGTCTAAAGAGAGTGGGGGACAACCTTTGGCCCCCCAACTTGCCTGCCTCCCCAAGCTGAGCATTTGGGTGTGCCAGGTGCGTCCCCCCCGCTAGTTGGACAGGTTTTGGAGAGGACAGGCAGAGGCCTGGGGCCCGGGTGGGGCTGGCTAGTGTTAATTAGAGGGAGCTGGCCAGGAGGAGCTGGGGGAGTGGGCCTGAGCCTTAGAGGCTGGGCAGAAGCTGAGTATCCAGAGTCCTTGGGACAGGAGTGTGTGAGGCCATGGGTCGGGGCTTAAATTCTGCCAGACTCAGGCGCCAGAAACGGCGCCTGCGACCTCGGGTCCAGCACAGGCAGCAGCCTGAGGTAAGTGGGCATCAGAGAGCCACACCCCACCACCCCACAGCCCGGGGTCAGCCCATCCTGTCTGGCCTGGAAACCGCTCTCTACTGCTCCCCTTCCACCTGCCTTCTGAGTCTCTGCATTTCACTCTCTTTGCTTGTTTCTTCCTTGACTTTTGCTTTCATGCCTGCCTCAGACTCCCTCATTATTTGGGTCTCTCACTCTCCCTCTTGGTCTTTTCATGTCTGTTCCAGTGTCATCTCTTCCTCTGTCTCTGACTCTGTGTTCTGGCCCCCACAGCGGCTGCAGCAGGAGAACCACGAGCTCCGTCAGAGGCTAGCAGCACGGGGAGCCGAGTGGGAGGCCAGGGCTGTGGAGCTGGAGGGGGACGTGGAAGCCCTGAGGGCCCAGCTGGGGGAACAGCGCTCAGAGCACCAGGACAGTGGGCGCGAGCGGGCACGGGCCCTCAGTGAACTCAGTGAGCAGAACCTCCGGCTCAGCCAGCAACTGGCCCAGGTGAGACAGCCCTGATCTTAGGGCAGAGTGGAGGCAGACTCCTGAGTCCCGGTGGTGGGGCTGGTTGCCCTGGGCTTGGTGCTGAGGCTTGAGCCAGCTGAAAGCTCCACTGCCTCCCCTTCCCCAGGCCTCCCAGACTGAGCAGGAGCTTCAGAAGGAACTGGATGGCCTTTGGGGGCAGTGCCAGGCTCAGGCCCTGGCTGGAGCAGAGCTGAGAACACAGCTGGAGAGTCTGCAGGGTGAGGTGAGTACCAGCTAGGGCTCCAGCTGGCCCCAGCCTCAGCTAGGGCTGGGGCCTGTTGAGCCAGGAAGACTGGGCTGAGGGCTATCTGGAGCTGGCCTAGCATCTCCCCTCAACTCAGAAGCCTTTCCCCAGAACCAGATGCTGCAGAGCCGCCGTCAGGACCTGGAGGCACAGATCCGAGGCCTGCGGGAGGAGGCAGAGAAGGGCCAGGGCAGGCTACAGGCAACCCACGAGGAGCTGTTGGTACTGCGGCGGGAGAGGCGGGAGCACAGCCTGGAGGTGACCAGTGGGGTTGGGGTATCTGGGTACATCCAACTGGGGCCTTGGCCGCGGCCTTAGGTCTTCCTGGGAGATAAGGCCAGAGCTGGCTCACTGGGAGTCCCAGCAGCTGGGCCACAAGAACATAGGAATTAGTCCAAAGGCAAGTGGGAGCCATGCAAGGGTATTAAGCAGGGGTGGTACACTTTTAGAATGCACCAGGCAGCTGGGAGGGAGCTGAGGCTAGAGCTCAGGCCAGAGTTGATGGGGACCTGGACCAGGTCTGGGGAAGCAGAGATGGGAGAAAAGGGAATGAAAAGAAGCAGAATGGCCTGATGTTTGAGATCTCAGGAGTTTGTGCTTTGGGATTATATTTTCTGGGTTCTTATCCCAGCATCTCTTCTTATATTGTGGAATGCTTAAGCTGAGTTTCCCCATATGTGAGATGGAATAGTAATGGCATAGAGCTTTGGTAAGGGTGTAAAGCACCGAGCACAGCACCAGCTTAGAAGACAACAAATGCTGGACGATAGCAGTTAGTGAAAGAGTTAGAAGGCTGACTGGTCAGGGATGGGGCGGGGCTCTCTTCGAGGTTAACTGGCGGGGTGCAGCTGGAGGGAGGGTAATGGGAGTCTTTAAAGCCGGGGCGCCCACCCGCACCCTGCTTTATAGGCAAAGAAATTGGTGTCCGTGGAGAGGAAGTGCGAGGCTCAAAGCCATTGAGGCACACAGATGCACCGGACTTCCTAGGTCTCCTCGGCGCGCCGGCGCCCCCTGTGGGCGGGTCACGGGATGCCGGCGGCGGACGCACCTGGCTGTTTGCCCATGCTTCTGTATGTCCGTCCCTACACAGCTGGAACGTGCGCGCTCCGAGGCCGGGGAGGCACTGAGCGCGTTGCGGAGGCTGCAGAGGCGCATCTCGGAGCTGGAGGAGGAGTCGCGCCTCCAGGACGCTGACGTGTCAGGAGCCTCGCTGCAATCAGAACTTGCCCACAGCCTTGACGGCGACCAACACCAGAACCAGCACCAGAACGCGGATGGACGCAGAGACGCCCTGGTGAGCTTGCGACCCACCAGCCCCAACGTGTGCCATATAAGAGGACTGCAGACTCCACCCCTCTTCCTTTTCCCTCGAGATTTGACACCTCACTAATTCTTTTGGTGAACAGACCCCGGAGACCCAAGAGGCATCCAGTAACCAGCCTTCGCCCCAGGAGGAGAGCTTGGAGCCTCCCAAGAAGCGAACATCCCTGAGCCCAGGGGAGATACTGGAGGAGAAGGAGGCAGAAGTGGCCCAGCTGCAGGATGAGGTGTGTGTGTGTTGGGGGGGGGGGGGGAGTGTGCATAGTGCTGAATGCAGAGCCCCTCCAATGTCAGTTTCTCTACAACTCTGAGCCTTTGTCCACTAATCCCCCTCTACCTGGATCGCCCTTCACCCCAACAAACTTGTAGTCATGCTTCAAGAGCCAGCCTGTGTGCCACCTCTTCCAGGAAGACTTCCTGGATTGCATCCCCTCCCCCTCCCCTTAGTCCCACCTCCCAATGTTTCTTCATGCATCCTTCCTGCAGGCTTATACCACCCAACTATCCCTGCACCAGCCTCGGGGCTCAAAAGATACACCTCCAGCATAAGGCCACAGCTGCCTAGGGTGTTTGTGGTGCAGGCAGTGGGAGGGCTGGGAAAGCTGGAACCCTGGTTGCCCGGAGGAACAAGGGCTTGGAGACCGGGGGGGGGCTTACTTGCCTCTCTGCCCCCTCCCCTGCCCACAGATCGAGCTGCAACGCGCAGAGCTACAGTCCCTGAGGGAGGAGCTGCAAAGGCAGAAGGAACTGCGAGAGCAGGAGGACCCCGAGGAGGCCCTAAACAGCGCCCTCTCAGACAGGGAGGAGGCCGTAAACAAGTGAGCCTGTCTCTGCCACCTCCCCAGTGGGGCTGTAGGCCTCCAGGGCACTCTGGTCCTTCTAGGCCTCACTTGTGATTTGGGCTATAATTATCCCCATTCTGACCCAGGGACCCGCTGACTTCCTTGGTTTTGTTGTTAGCGGTCCCACTCCCGCCCTGGTCCAGGAGCGCCCCCCCCCCAACCCCACCCAGGTCACTGAAGCCCCAGCACCCTCGTACCTGCTCTCTGTCCCTCTCTTACAGGGTTTTGGAACTGTCCCTGGAGCTCAGCCGCGTCTCTCTGGAACGGGACTCCCTCTCCCGGGAGCTGCTTCGCACCATCCGCCAGAAGGTGGCGCTGACGCAAGAGCTGGAGGCCTGGCAGGTGAGGGGGCGGGGCCAGATGGGCGGGGCCTACAGGGGGCGAGGCCTGTGCGCTGACCCACACCCCCCCGCCCCCGACTTGCCCGCAGGACGACATGCAAGTGGTGATTGGGCAGCAACTGCGTTCCCAACGCCAGAAAGAGATGAGCGCTGCCGGATCAGTTCCTCATCGCCCCGCGCCCCGCTTCTCGTTGCGCCGGGCCCCTGGGCCCGCCGGCGGCTTTTTCAGCAACCTCTTCCGAAGGACCTGAGGGCCGGGCTATGGGACCTGCCCTTGCTCTCTGTGGCTCACTTTCCCTTTCTGGCCAATAGAGTGACTGACGGGGTGGGTCCTGGTTGTCTTCCCGAGGGGGCTGCTGCCCTCCCAGCCCCGGGAGGCTGAGCAGGGGCTCATCGGGAGCAGGGACCAGCTTTGGGGGCCAGGGTCCCCAGGTGGGTGGCAGGGGCAGGTGGGGAAGAGCTACCTATTTTTTGAATCTATTAGAGGTCTTATCTTTTCTAAGCACTAGGCCCCCTGGCCCTGGCATGCTCCAAGGTGGGGGTAGGTATTTATGCATCAGGATCAGACAGAGTAATATATAAATCATTACACCGACTTGGTCTCCATTCTTGGGAAGAAAGTGCATGGAAGAAAAGCCTGAAATTTTATTTGTAAAAAATACAAAACCAGATCCCTGGGTTGGGGGGGCGAGGGTTTTGCTGGATGTCAGAAGGACAGGGAGAAGGCACGGTAGCCCAGATTGGTGAAGACATCCACCCGGCAGCTGTTGCCTGCAGCTGTCAGCACCTGGAAGCAAGAGGTGGAGGTGACTGACCTGTCCACACATCCCTGGCCTCCCTGGACCCCCACAGCTCCATGCAGGACCCACCTTGCACTCAGGTGCCGCTGGCTGCTGGTTGAGGCTAAGGCTGAGCAGCCCTGGGGAGGAGCCAGGCACCTGGGCCTTAAGCTCCCCACTCAGCTGCCACTGGTTGACGCAGGGGCCCTGGCCAGCTGACAGAATCTGTGGAAGGCACGGAGGTGACTCAGGAGTCACAGCTAGTGAGAGGAGCTAGGCAGGGGTGGCAAAATGGAGACAGAGGGCCTCACCAGGTCCTGGTAGAAGGTGACGTGCTTCTGTGGTGCCCGTAAGGGGAAGATGGTGGTGGGCGTTGAGGAGCGGAGGTGCCAGAGGGTGAGTGCTGGGCCCCCTCCACAGACCTGGGCAGAAAGGTGGGATCCCCAGCCACAGTGAGCCACAGGACCTCAGCTGGTAGGGTCTGGAGCTTGCCACCCCAATCTGCACTTAGCCCGGCTCACCATCCAGTCTGAGTCAGTTGCCAAACATCCAATCCAGCGCCCATTGTGGGGCCTTGAGCACTCCTGAGAGGGAGGAGGAGAAGTGAGGAGGAGGTGAAGATGCAGAAGATGCCCAGGGAGAAGGCAGGACGGGGCATGGGGAGTGCCCTCACCTCCTGCTTATAGACCTCAATCGTCTGGACCTCCTTGGCAGTACGGAGATCTGTGGGGGAAGAACCATGAGAGGCACCCTACTTACCACAGCCTCCCTCAACCACCATCTTTCCCTCTAACCAGACAGTCCCTTACCCCAAAGCCGCACAGCCCCATCCTCGCCACCTGACAGCACCTCAGGGCTCCGCTCCCGCAGTGCCAGGCAGTGGATATAGTCTGTGTGGCCCCGGAGGGCCCTCTGCAGGAAAGGAACAGTGTCAGGACGAGATCCAGAAGAATGCCTCCCCCACCCCAGTGACTGCCCCAGCTCCACAGCCCTCTCACTGTGAAGCTCCCCGTCTCAAGGTCCATTGTATGCAACTGGCAGTCTCCCCCTGCCAGGATAAGGGAATTCTCCTGCAGAGGAAGACAGGGTGGGGTCAGTAGTCAATGTCAAATCAGAACAGGGACAGGGAAGGATCAAGGTTTGGGCCAAGAACAGGGCAGGGTAGAGACCTAGTTACAAAAGGTTCAGACCTTGGGGACAAGAAGCAAAGCATTGATTTCTGGTACTTCCAGGCTGGTCCTTGGAAAGGGAAAGCGGGATCAGTTCTGGTGAGGCAGCACCTGCACCCCGACGTGCCCTCTGCCCACATGGCCCTGGCTCACCTGTATGGGGGCTGACGACGCCACAGCTCCTTACAGCCCTTTGTGGAGGGAAACAATGCGTGACCTCAAAGGTTCTCTCTGGAGCTGGGTGCCCCAGTACCCCTCCTCCAGCTCCACACTTCTTACCTTCTTGAGGATCTCTGCCCAAAGCCAGGCCTTCACCTCCCCATCCCCAGCGCTGAACATATGTCGATCAGTGGAGACCATGCTGTAGACTGGCCCATCGTGGGCTAAACGGAAATGCAGAACCTAAGTGACCTCATCCTGCTCCCCTCCTCCACCCTAGGGTCCTCTAAGCTAGACTCAATGGCCACACCCACCTTGGAAGGTCACTACGGGTTTTTTACTTTCCTCTTTGGCCTCAGAGCTCAAAGCAGCAGACAAGCTGAAAGGAGAGGGGAAGAGAGTCTGAGTCAGAGGCAGGGGACATCACTCCTGGCACAGCCAAGTGCTATATGGGTGGTGGGGAGCAGAGGCGAGGGTACCTGAAGATGGCTATCTGCCCATAATTGTTGCCAGCCGCCAGGAACTTCCCACAGGGTGAGACACTCTGGGAGAAAATAGTCATGTGCAGCCGCTGTAGGGCCTGAAACACTTCCATCTGTGGGGAAAGAGACTGAATGAAGACTGTCTGGGACCTCTGACCCACAGAGTCCTTCCTAGTTCCCGTGCCGCCAGTTCAGCCACTGCCCAGACTTCTCAGCCCTCCTCTGAGGCCCACCAAGGTGGGCACCTGGCCACACAGTCCCAGGGATGGTTCCAAAAAGAGGGTGAGGAAGAGGGGAGTTGAGGCAAGGACTTGGAGCAAGCACCCAGCCTCTCCTCAAAGTTTATTCAATTGTCAAATGAAGTTCACAGGAGAATGTGTCATGATTGGATGAGCTACTGTATATAAAGAGCTTCGCACAGGGATGCCTCGGACAAAGCGCATAAACAGTGGCTCTATTACCCCAATAGAGAAAAACGTACTGCCTTTTAATTACTACTCTCTGACTTTGACGTTAGGCCCTGAGGTATTTCTGGGTTACTCTTCCACCCCAGGGTCAGAGTCCGAGTCCCACCAACAGCCCACGCAAAACAGGGGTCAGGGCACGAGTAGCTTGCCCGCTCCTTTTGAGCCGGGCATGGACTGCAAACCCCAGAAGGCACCGCGAACAACGCCTGTCTCACCTGACCCAGAGGCACAGCGTGCGGCACAGCTCGCTCCATCTCGAGAACTACAAGTCCCAGACTGCTCCGCGTGCAACGCAACCTCACGAGTCCGGACGTGCCTCTAAGCGGATCACCGTCACTGAGCTTCACCGGTCCAATACCGCAGGTCGGCTCAGCGCGAAGGCGGCCGCCGCGTACCACCAGAGCCCCAAGAGCCGAGGTGACCGCCACGAGGATCCCCGACACTAAGAGGACGCGCCCACCGCAGTTCCGCCACGCCGGATCCCTTCCCCCACCCTGCCGAGTAGGCCCCCCTTCCAGTCGGTCGCCGCCCGTCTTCCGCGCCTGCGCGAATCTCGCTGCTGCGCGCTCCAAAAGTCACGCCTCTCGCGTTGGGCCACGCCCTCGGAGGCTCCGCCTGTCGCCCGGATCCCACCCCTCTGTCCGCAGGACCCCGAACCCCAATGATCCTTCAGCAGCATCTGGAGCGAGGCCCCCCAGGTCGGGCGCAGCGTGACCCGCGGGTCGCCTCGGGGGCGGCTCGAGGCCTGGACGCGAGGTGTGTGTGTGGGCCCTGGGTGGGCCTGGCCCAGGGACGCAGGAGCTTTGGCTGGGGGCTCAAGGCTGGTCTGCAGGATGACACGCGATGGGGCAAATCAGCAGGGCTTGGGCATGAGCTGAGACGAGTTTGGAGACTAATGAGGCAAGCTGTTGAATGGCCCGGGAGAGTGGGGGTGACTTAGGTATCAGCTGAGAGGAATTGGCTGGGGGTTCCTGGCTGACGCTGCAGGCTCAAGCGGGCAGATCTTGGGGATGGGGGCCAAGAGGGTGGGGTGCACCTGGTTCTTTTTTCTTCCCAGCTCCCCTCTCCGAGGAGCTGTGCCCATGAGCACCAAACGGCGCCTGGAGGAGGAGCAGTGAGTTTAGGGGCAGGGAGGGACTCCCAACAAGACCTGTCACCTCATGTCCCCATCAGCCTGCTTGCCTCCTGGTCTCTCCCTAGGGAGCCCCTGCGCAAGCAGTTCCTGTCTGAGGAGAACATGGCCACCCACTTCTCTCGACTCAGCCTGCACAATGACCATCCTTACTGCAGCCCCCCTGTGGTTTTCCCCACAGCTCTTCCCCCACTCAGGTAGGCACCATCTACTATCTACCCGCTAGGCCTTCTGGAGAATCATGCATGGTCTGGGAGCCAAACTTCAGGCCCTGCCTCATCCTGCTATTTTTAGCTTCTAGCCAATCTCTGTTGTTTCTCATCTTAGCTCCTTAGAAGGTGCCTGCAGCCCAGTAACCCCTGGGGACCTGAACCTGGTGGGGGGTGGCTCTGTCAGGCCAGCTTCAATCCTGTGCGTCATTTCCTTTTCCAGGAGCCCTGGCTCTGAGCTGCTTCTCTGGCGATACCCTGGAAACCTGATCCCTGAGGCTCTCCGGATGCTGAGGCTGGGGGACACCCCTGCCCCCCACTACCCTGTAACCCCAGTTGGGGACGTAATGGAGCTCTAAGTTCTGTCAGGCAGTACCCCTGCCCACCCTCCTTCTCTCCAGTAGGGGAGACCAACAACCCCATGAAGGGACCAGCTGCCCTGCTTTTCCTCCAGACCAGGTCTCTGGGCACCAGGACCGTCCCCCAAAAGAGGACACTAAGCCCAACAGAACCCTGGGGTGGGAGGGGCAGGAGGGACAGCAGCATAGGAATGGAGGCATCCCCCCTTCCCCCCCTCCCCAAGAACTGAATAAAGATTGTTGCGCAGAGGAAGGCTTTAGTCTGAAACTTGGGGCCTTTGGGAAGAGGGGGCAGAGCTAGGGCACTGGATGCTGAGGTTTCTCCTCAAGATCTTCCCTGGAATATGGTCAGGGCCTGGCCAGGTCCTGGCAGGCGAGGCTCAGACATTGAGAATGTGTGAGTCAGAGCCTCACCCCCGCCCCCGCGGCTGACTCACTCCTCCTTCCAGCTCTGGGAAGTCAGACTGGGGATCATGTCACTCTCCGAACCATTTAAAGTTAAAGATTCTTTTATTAATAAATTCTCCCCCCTCCAAACTTTCTCCCCAAAATAAATATCTCCCCCCTTTGAGGGTTGGGGGGGCAGTGTCTTAGGGCCAGCCCCCCTAGAGGGCCAGCCCCCTAGTGTTAGGAACAGGTCCTTAACCCCCCAGGCTGAGACCCCAGTGTTGGAATTTCAGCACATCTGAGTGGGTGGAGCCTGGTGCTGTGTCTGTCAGGTCAGACTGGCCCCCAGGCCATGGGGTGGGGGACCCTTGTGCAAATGTTGCAGTTCCTTAGTGTCAGCTGTCTGGTGTGAGCCAGCTTAGGTCTCATTTTCTGTCCTGGAGCCAGAGACAGGGCAGTCAGACACCTTGATGGCTCCTCTGAAGCCTGGGTCCAGGCCTCAGAGAAATGATTCACCCGTCCCCCATGCCTGCACACCCCTGTGGTTGGAGCACCCTGGCTCAGGCTGTGTCTGGGAGGCAGGGGCTGGCTCTAGAATGAATGAATGAATGATGAGTGGGCGTGGCCTCCTGCTGGCAGGGGATGTTCATTGTCACTGGATCAGTGCCACACCAGGACATCCCTCCCCACCGGTCTCCTCTATGGGAGCTGCAAGATAAAAAGAGGGGTCGTCAAGAGCAGGGAAGATGGTGAAGATTGATAGTGGGGGACAGGCAGGCGAGCAGGGCACACTTACTGGTAAATTTCTCTCTCCTGCGGCACCGTCTCCAGACCAGGAAACCGGAAAGTAGCCCCAGTACAAGGGCCAGGCTCAGGGCTCCCCCCAAGATGGGCCACAACAGCCGAAAGGTGGCTGGAGGGGCCGCAGCACCTGGGGGCAGGACTCAGTCACACCTCGCCCCTCTCCGGACCAGCCCCACCCCTATCGAGACCCCTACCCAGATTGGAGGCCCTTCCCCACTCCCGCCCCCTCCACATTAATTCCCCAGATCTGAAGTCCCATGCTCCCTCTACCCCAGCAACTTCTCTCCCCCAGGCCCCGCCCCCCACTCACAGCCCAGGCAGAAGTCGCTGTGCGGTCGCGCCGGGCACGACGCGCAGTCCATGCACTTGTCGAGGTCTGCACTCCAGGAGCTACCGCGAGAGCAGGGGGTGGTGCCTGAGGAGGGGGCCGCGGGTCAGAGGCTGGGGGCGGGGCGGGGCTATTCTGGGGGCTGAGGTCAGGGTCGGCAGGCTCGAATAACGTGAGTCACCGGCGCCCTCCTCCCGCATTCCTCACAGGTGACCGCACGGCCCGACCGGGACACGGCAGCGCAGGGAGTCGGGGGGAAAGGGGGGGGGGCGTAGCGCGGGAGGTCAGGTCCCCACAAACCCACCCCCCCGCCGCCGCCGGCGGGTGACTCATTCCTGGGCATCGGGCCCGACCCCGGTCCCTCCCCCCCGCATAGCTGGGCACTGAAGTCACCGGATGGAAGGGGGCACCCCACATGTTATGGGGCACAGACCCCCGTGCCTCTCGACATCCCCTCCCGATTATTCGGTCACTGGGGCTGGGCACACCCGGTAGTGACCAGGCTGGGGGCATGCCCCCTTCACCGGACGAGACATCCCGCCCTCAAACTTTCTCCACTTCCGAGTCCGGACTTTAAAGACAGATTCCCCTCGTTGGACTGGCGGGAAACTGAAGCCCGGAATGAGGATGAAGCTCGGAGCGAGATGGGATCTCCCCTGGCCAGAGAGCGCGGTGTCTGGAGACCTGACCCCGGATCCCATGTCCCCCCAGTTCTGCCCGCTCCTCTAAGCCCCAAAGCCGGTTCCCCGTTCCCGGGCCGAGGGTTCCCCGGCCCCCACGCCCTTCCGCCCAGTCCCTGTTTGGCGCCCGGTGTACCTGGCACCCGCTCCCCCGCCGCAGGGCACAGCAGCGCCAGCCCGAGCCACAGCACCAGGAGCCGCAGCAACGGGCACAGCAGACCAGGAGCCATGGTGAGCGTCCCGCGGGCGCAGCAGTCTGCTACCGCCGCGGGCCTCAGAGACCAATAGCGTCAGCCCCGCCCCCGCCCCCGCCTTCCGGGGCAGACCCCTCGCGTGGGCCCGCCCAGCGGCCCGCCCCGCCTGGCCCGCTAAGTTCAATCGTTCGCTCTGCAAACGCCGTCCTTATGCGCGATCTGCTAGGACCCGGCAAGGACGCCGACGTGCTGCCCACTAGGTGCTCAGGTCCGGGAGGCGTGTATGTGTGAGTTGGGGGTGGGGGAAGGGGAACAGACGCGAAACCACCCATTGACCCATTTTAAAGATAAGTGCAGCTCTGTTAAGGGCCCTGGGGATATAATAATAAACGTAACAAAAATGATAACGTGTCCTGTAATTTCTACCTTAGGACTTAGCTACCTAGTAAAACGCAGGCTTGTTGTCTCCATTTTGCAGAATATGAAACTTAGGCTCGGGAAGGTTAGGTTAATTCCCGAGGTCACAGCACTAGCACTAGTAAGTGGCGGAGCCCAGACCCAAGTTCCACGCCCTGCACCAAGACCTACTGTGGGCCCCGACGCCAGCCCCTGATGTCCCCGCACCCGGGTCAGCCGCAGACGTTGCAGCCCCAATCTCGAGCGCCCCCGACTGACAAAGTTGGGATTCGCGCGCCCGCCGCGGTCTGGACTGGGGTCCCTGCCCCTCCCCGGGGCGGTGGTCCAGTGACGTCAGTGCCTCTTTAAGACCCTGCCCCCGCCCCATCCCCACACTCCGCAGACTCTTAGGAATCTCCGCGGACTCCTTCCTTCTCAGGTGAGCCTGGGGGCAGTGTGCGTGTCGGGGTGAGGGAAGAGATGGATGCCTCCAGGAGTGGGGTGCTGGGGGTGTGGACTGCTGGAGAACTTGGACTGATCTGACTGCGGCCACCGGGCCGACGAACCCCCGGGCGCGTGGCTGCACGGAAGCCGCCGAGCAGATCGAGTCCTTCTGCGACTCGAGAAGGGTTAAATGCTCCTCCTCTCCTCCCCTGGGACAAAGGCACCGAAACCTGGTCTCCCCTCCCCCACCTACACTGCTCTCAGGGGCGGGCGCCCCTCCCCCTCACCTGCAGGGACGGACCCTTGGCGAGCGCCGCCATTAAACTACCTCGGGCTAGCGCCTCCCTGGTTGGGGCGGGGGGCGGCTGAGGACATCCACCTTCGGGCCGGACTCCGAAGGCAGGTAGGGATCGAGAGCAAGAAGGGGATCCCTCGGACCGAGCCTAGCCCATAATGTGTGGAAAGGGAATAGGGTCGAGGGCAGCGGAGAGGCGCAGGGTGCCTAGGCCGGCGTGGCCCAGGCCCTAACCCGGCCAGACCCCTCTCAGACACTCTCAGACACCTGGAGAGTGGACAGGCGAGTGTAACCCACGAGGGCTGGCCTGCCCTCCCGAGCTCTTCAGCTCGGCCCAGGTAAGGGCCGGGCGCAAATGAGAAGTGGGTGGGGAGTCTGTCCTCTGGTCACACTGCTGGGCTGGTGCTATGTTTAGGTCTAAGCCATGCACGCGGGGAACCTTTGGGCAATGGAGAACCATAACAGGACCCTGAATAGAACTGACCCCCGTGGAGACCTCCAACACTAAGTGGGATGTAAGGAGAGACAGGTGGGGGGAGGGCTGCCCAGAGGAGCTGGTTCACTGGATAGACACCAAGGATTTTAGCTCCTTTTAGTGTTGTGTCTTGAGAGGATGGCATTTTGGGTAAGAATACACAAGAAAAATGCCCCCAACCTTGAGGTTATGCTCTCTGGTCCCTAGGAGAAGGAAGCAGGACCTAAGGAGGCAACTGGTGGCCTTAGGGAAAGAAGTGTTTTCAGGTTGGAGGTTTTTTTTTCTTCATCTCTCCTCCCCCCACCCTACCCCCAGAGATTGGCTGGGGTTGGGCTGGGCTGGGCTGGGCTGGGGCAAGCCAGGCCAGGTAGGGACTGGTGGACCATCCAGGACACAAGATCTTTAAGATCAAACTGGCAATCACCTGCCTGGGGTAGGGACAATATTGGGGTGAAGAGTTTGGACACTTGTTGGGTGATGGGAAGAGGCTTGGAATTTTGGTGTTGAAACTGACAAGTTTTGAGTCTGAAACTTGTGGCTGAGTCCAACCTCCCATCCATGTGCCCTGTGGAAAACAGCTGTAAACTGTGCTGTGTCCCTTCATCCCCTTTTTGCAACTTTGTTGTTTGATGCAATATATCCAAAGTGGTTGAGGGACTAACACTTGCATAGGATTAATATTATCTTTCATTTGCACTCAAAACAGCCAGAACCAGGTGATTCCTTATTCACTATTGTAAGCCAGTGCCACAGAACCAGAGACAAAGAAATGCTAAAGCAGGGGCTGGCCAAGTGGCTCAGTTAGTTAAGAGTTGGCTTAAGATTGCGAGCTCTGAGCAACAGGGCTGCCAGTTCGATTCTCACATGGGCCAGTGACGCTGCGCCCGAGCTGAGCTGTTGCTGAGCTGCCAACAGGTGGNTGAGTTTAGAAAGCACAGAGAGGGCCTGAACAGCTGAGGCAGCCTGGGAATATGGGCAGCGGGGGAGTGACCCTGATCTGGCATGGGGACAGAGGCAGACAAACTCACACCTGCTTTCTGAGGTTTCAGTCCCCACTGGATGGCTGGAGTCGGTGCTAGGAAGAAAGCCATGGGACAGGAGTGAGCCCAGGACCCAGTGAGTTAGGAATGCTGCAGCCTGGAATGGGGGCAGGGGCTGGGGGGGGGGCTGCCATATTGGGGGTTACATGGAGTCTCAGGGCCAGAACTCAGGCTTTTCCTCAGCTGGCTCACTGTGACAAGCCCCAGTCTCAGCTGGAGAATTGGGCATGGGGGCCTTCTGAGCAGCTCAGCCAGGCCCAGCCCCGCCAGGGACCAGGTACGCTCCACCCTGTGCCCCCCACTCCACACTAACCTGGGAACTTGCCATTCTGTACTGGCGGAGGGGGCTGGGATTTTGGGCCCCAGCCACCTGCTTTATCAGAAGGGACCCCTGGAGTGGGAAGCCTGGGGAGAAGCAACGGGGGAACCCTCCCATTGCAGGGACCTAGATGGGAGAGGAAGGGAGAGGGCAGTGAGCCCAGGCCGGCGCCTACTCCAGGCTGCCCTCCTGGCGTTGGACTGGCCAAGCCACCAGGCTGCGGTGGCTTCTAGGGCAGACACAGTTTTCAAGGGGAGTCATTGTCCAGGCCAGAAAAAGCCCATTTCCTGTGGGTCACAACCTGCTCTGGGGACCAGGTGACCCACCCACCTGACCTGGTTCCTGCTGTTTGCCCATCCAGCCCCTCTGCCTTCCAGCAACATCCTTCCTACCTCCCTCTTGCCCCCCCCCAAGCCCCTGGGGCATCACCTGGCTGGGCCCCCAGCCCATTTCCATTGCCATATCCTGGAAAGGAAAAGCAGGGGTTTGAGGGGCAGTATTGGGGGGGGAAGTCTGGAGGGAGAGGCAGAAGAAAGTACAGGACAGAGATAGGGGAGCCTCTCACTTGCCTGGCTTCTGAGGTTTCACACCCGCTCCTAGACCTCAAGGAGAAACAGAGAGACAGCTCAGAGGGGACCAGCTCTAGGACTGAGCCCTCTGTCCTCTCTATTGAGACCCGCATTGTACTCACCTGGTGGGAGCCCATTCCCTGGCATGTATCCTGGGAGGAAAAGCAAAAATGAGGACAGGAGCTGGGGTGGGAGAGATTTCAGAGGGAGGCAGGAGAGGGGCAGGGATGAGCTCACCTGGCTTTGGAGGGCTCACACCCCCTCCTAGGCCTAGGGAGAAACAGAGGGAGGCTGAGTGACAGATGGACCCCACTCTGCTCCTTCTCTTCCCCAGGCCCCAACTCTTTGGTCCATGGGCTCTGTACCCTCTTCTTCTCTCCCCCTACCTGCCCTGCCTCCCTTACCTGGCTGGGCCCCTTCACCAGGGAAGGCTCCAGCTCCCAGCCCATTCCTGTAAACTGGGGAGCCAGGGTGGGCGTTGCGAAGGGGAAAGGGGTGGAGGGAGTAGACAGTTTCTGGGGTAGAGAGGAGTGAGGTGTCCAATTCTGATACCAATTCCAATTCTGGGGGATTTCAAACACCCTCAAGCAATTCTCAGATACCAGCTGGGTGTCCTCCAATTTAACTCAATTCTGACACTTTCTACCTGGAGATACTACCAGGTCCCACAGGTTAAGGGCTCAGTCCCACAATACTGTTCCCTCCTCCCACTTCCAATCCAGGGCATCTGTGCTTCTAACCAATCAGCTATATAAATCAGAGGTTCCCATGACCCCCTCTTTGGGTTCAATTATTTTTCTAGAGTGGCTCACAGAACTCGGGAAAACAGTTCACTTGCTAGATCACAGGTTTATTATAAAGGACACAACTCGGAGACATCCAGGTGAATGAGATGCTTAGGACAGGTGTACAGGAAGGTGCTTGGAGCTTGCGTGTTCTCCACACACGTGCACGGACCTCCCTTCAACTCTCCTCCCTGGTTTACCAACCAGGAAAGAAGCTCTCCCAACCTGGTTCTTTGGGTGTTTATTGGGCTTCCTTACACAGGAACGAGAGATGAAATCATTGGCCACTGCTGACTGAACTCATCTCCAGCCCTGCCCCCTCCCCAGAGGTCAGGGTTGGGACTGAAAGTTGCAACCTTCCAATCACAAAGTAGGTCCCCTGGCAATCAGCCCACTCTTAGTTAACCTAGGGGCTTTTAAAATGCAACAAAAGGCACCTTTATCGTGCTCATCACCTAGGAAATTCCCAGTTTTTAGGAGCTAGTTCTGTGCTAGGAATAAAAGACCAAATATTTATTATAAATCACAGTATCACTAGGAGGAAGAGAGAAAGGGTTTACCTGGCTTCTGAGGCTTCATGCCTTCGCTAATGCCTGGAAAAGAGGGGGGACCAGGTGAGGGACCCATTACCTACCCATCCAGACTCTCCTCCAGAGCCTGGCATCTGACACCCAGCGCCCACACCAACACCGGCTCATTTCATTACCTGGTCCTTGGTCCATTGGAACAGCAGAGCCTGTGGGGACAGAAGAGGGAGAAGCAACAGAACGCTGGGAGCTGGGTACCTTTTCTCCCAGTTTAGGAATGAGCTACCCAGGGCCTTCCTCTATCTTGGCCACCAATTCCATTGAATCACCACACAAGCTCTCCAAGTCAAGCAGGAGCTCACCAGGGGACCCTCAAACTAGGGTCTGGGTGAAGATCCCACCCATGTCCAGGGACCCCTACTCTCTTCCCACTCCTCAGCTTGTGTGAGCACCTCAGTACCTGCTCTGTAGCCATTCTGACCTGGGACCAGTGGGAGGGAGGGGTTAGCAGGGGATTGGAGCCCGGGCAAGGTGGGGTGAAGGCCCGGCCCATGGTCTCCCCTCAGGCCAAGCCAGAAGAACCACATGGGGGTCGTGCAGGCTCTCCGCCAGCCTCTCTAAATCATTTGCCAATCCTGCCCCTCAAACACCTGGTGGAAGGCGGAACAGGACACCCAGACACAGACGTCTCCCCAGACTCCATCAGTCTCACCTGGCTGGGCTCCCAGCCCGTTCCCGAATCCTGGGGGTGACAGATGACGTGGGGTGTGAATTGATGAGTGGGAGCTCCGAGTTTTTGGGAGGAAGAGAGAGGGCATGTAGGGGAGAGGCTCACCTGGCTTCTGGGGNCTGGATCTTTCTCCACTCTGGACATTGCCATCTTAGAGGCCAGCCTGGAGCTGTGGCCCCAGGGTGAAGGCCGCTTGCTGGCCAGGTGTTTTTGTGACAAGATGCTTTGTCTGGCCCACCTTGCTGGTCACGCCTCTGGAACCAGGGCTCCAGAGCCTCAAATAGCCTCGAGAAGACCAGGTGATAAGTGACCAAAGAACCATCTACTTCCAAGGCTTCTGACCTCTGGCTCTTCTATCCTCAGTTGCATCCCAGCCATGCTATAGACCCCTGACCCTCTCACCTCCAGCCCCTGCACACTTCTGCTATGCCCCTCCCACACTCACAAGTTTTTATTAAAATAAAGTGTTTTGTTACTTGCCATTGGTGTTGCTGGGGGTGCTGCTGAGTTCAGCCTGGTGTGAGGAGGTGAACACCAGCAGCTCTCCTCCTTTGTTTGCCCCACTGCCTTGCATGGCCTGAGTGAGGTTACCCACAGAGCAGGACCTGGAGCAGGCCTGACAGCCCTGGGGAGTACACCTGGCTTTCCCTGCCCAATCACAGATCAAAGCAGCCTGGAGGTACAAATTCTGCATTTATTCCAGGGAGGGGGACAGGGGGGCTGGGCTGGGCCTCTGGATATAGTGGTGGCGAGACTGGAAGGGACCAACTCCAGGGCAGGCAGAGCATGATCCTCTCTTTGTTTTAAGCCAAGGAGCTACTGCTCTTTGGGTGAGGCCCAGGTTCCAGGTGCAGGGGAGGCCTCAGAGGAAGAGGAGGAGGGCTAGCCTAAGTCTTGAGCTGCAGAAGAAAGCAACTGGTCAGGAAAAGCTGGGGGAGACCAGGAGGTGGGAAGCCCCACTGAGGAGGGTCTGGGCTCAGCCGGGTCTGGCTGGAGCTCCGTGGAAAGTGGGTTTCACCTGGGGGAGGGGTTGATGGTAGAAGGCAGAGGTTAGAGGGTATCCATTACAAGGTCAAGGCTCTGAGCAGCAGGCTTCCGGGGATATGCTCCACCTCACACATAGTCCCTCTTGTCCATTCCAGACGTCCCCGAGCGGGAGGGGATGGAGTAGCCCAGCCTGGGTCCACGGGGCCTTTCGATCTGGGGCGGGGGGCACGTGCAGCAGAGGAGGCCTCCACCCAGCATAAGCAGGGCAGCTGCCGCCCAGCCCAAGTAGAGGGAGGCCCCAAGCTCCCGCTTAAGGGCCTCGGCCACCAGAGGGTTGTAGAAGTCCTGGATGATGGCGTGGGCCGTCCAGCAGACAGGGATGAGAACCAGGATGCCCGAGAGGAGGAGGATGACCCCCGCTGTGAGCACGATCCGGGCTTTGGCGCCTTCGTCCTCCACACAGGTTGTGCACTGGGCGCCAGTGATGGCCACCAGGAGGCCGAGCAAGGCCAGCAGGAGGGCGATGACGCAGAGGGCGCGGGCAGCCTGCAGGTCCTGGGGCAGCGCCAGCATTGAGTCGTACACCTTACACTGCATCTGGCCTGTGCTCTGCACCACACAGGACATCCACAGCCCCTCCCACACCACCTGAGCCACCACAATGCTGTTGCCGATGAAAGCAGTCACCTTCCACAGGGGCAGAGCACAGGACACGAGGGTTCCCAGCCAGCCCAGCACGGCCAGGGTCATGCCCAGGAGTTCTAGGCCAGCTGAAGCCATCTGCCCTCTCTTTAGGCCTTTTCAACCTTCGGTGGCTTGGTTAACAGAGGAGTCAGTCAGACACTGCCAGGTAGGGATCTTGGTGCCTGGCAGGAAGGGGCAGTCAGTGTCCTCAGGCCAAGGCAGTCCTCACATCTGTAGGCCTCTTGCAGGGCACCTCCTCTCTCCGTGCCCCTCACAGGTGTGTCTCCAGCCCCCAACAAATACAAATCAATCTCACAGTCCTGCTCAACTGAGTGGCTAGTGTCCACTCCAGGGGTCTGTGGCCCATCAGTTGCCCAGTGGTTTCTGTTCCTGCCACTCTGCAGTCACGTCCCAGCCACTGTCTCAACAACTGCACGGAACCCTCCCTCCACCAACCCACCTTCAGGCTGAGGAGAGCTTCGTCACCTCTGGCTGGCACAGGTTCACGCTGAGCAGTACACCCTTGCCGGGTGCCACCTGGGGACTGCTGGCTCCTAGCTGCAGGCGGGGTTTTTAAGGCCTAGACAGGGGAGGAGCAGCGAGGCCGAGACTGGGGAAGCCAGCACTATGGCGAGGAGGCGGGGCTGGGGTGGGATTGGGGTGGGGGGGCCTCAGGGTCAATGGGGAGATACCATGACCAGGAAGGGACTGGGGAGGAAAGAACATCCATGCCTGGAGAACCCAGGAACAAAGGAACGAAGAGACTGAGAATCAGCTGGGGAGGATGGGGGGGGCAAAATGTAATTGGCTCGGGACAGAGAAACGCAGGGTATGGGGGCCTCAGCCTGCCTTCCTGAGCCGCCTCCTCCTCCTCCCCCAGACACCCTTCCCCTGCTGTCCTTGCTTTCCACCACCCCACCCCCGTTCATTTCATGATACAAACACACCCCAGTTCCCCCAGTATCGTGCACCCCGACCTGTACCCCGCCCACTGGGACTCTCCGGAATTCGATCTGTCTTCAGTCAGCCCAGTGGCTCTGGCAGCTCCCGAGGGAGGGACCCCGCCCGCACCGTTTCCCCGGCGACAGGTGCCTGGAGCCTAGCTCAGGTGGCATCGTCCAGGCAACGGCCTAGAAAACCACCCCCTCACTTCTACCTCAGCTCAGGTGTGCCCTCTCTGAAACTGGGGACTGAGCAGAGCTGCTGAAGGTCTGTAGAGGCCAGGGGATAAAGATCCTGTTGTGGAGGTGGGAGAGGGGCACTCAGGGCCTGGGGTGACAGGGGAAGAGTGGCAGGGGCAGGAGCCTTGCGTGGGGGTGACGCCCAGGACCCTGTTGTCTCGTCCATGGGGAGTGAGTCCACTCAGGACCGGGACGAGACACTGAGCCCTGCCTCAGTCCTCAGGAAAGACCCTTGGAGCCCTGTGACTCCCCTCATGGGGGGCAGCCTGGAAGTCACACAGACCGTGGCTCAAATCCTGCCCCCCACCTGGGACAGGTCATGGAACGTCATGAGCCTTAACCACCTTGAGAAATCCCAGGGACCCATAAACATGAGCCCCTCATTTTTGGAGAGGGGTCATGAATTCCCTCAAGCCCCTCCCTGGGTGCTAAGAGCTGAGGACTATTGTGTGAAAATGGAGGGAGGTGCTGATGAAATTTCCACTTTCCAGGGTGGTTGGAAGGATTCTCAAAAGCAGTGTCGGGCCCTCACCCGGGAGAGCCTTTCACCTCCAGCCTCCTGAAGAAGACCAGAGGCCTGGCTGCCCTGGGAGGAGGGGTCCCTGGACAGGTGCCCAGGAGGGCTGGGAGGACCCCACACACACATCTGGTCACTGCACCACTCTACTGCCCTGGGGGAGGGGAGAGCACTAAGTGCTTCCTCACCTGTTCAGTGGGGCTTTATTTATAAATGATTCTAACTTCAGTTGGGTGCATTGCTCTGGGAATGGGTTTTAGGATATTTTTGTAAGAGAGGTTTATACTTCCATCAGGTTTGCAAAGGGGTGGGTGGCTCCAAAAGCTTGAGAAACTCTCCCCTTAAAATGGGGGGACTGAGGCCAAAGCCAAGCAGCAGGTCTGCAAGACGAACTCCAGTGGTTGGGGCTTCCTTCATGCCTGGTGCCTCCCCATAGGGCCACGGGGCAGTGCTGTCTAGTATGAAGCAGACCTGGGGGCTCCTTGATGCCTGAGGACAGGGATGGGGGTGACTATGACGGGGCTGCGATGGGCACCAGGAATCTTGGGGTCAGGTTTGTCCCACTCCTCCACCTCCTCCCCAACCAGGCCTCAGATTTCATGGGGGGGGGGGGGCGCTGAGAAGAAGGGCAAATAGAAGCAAGCCTTCAGTGAGCTCCTTCTATAGCTTTTGGGGCCGCCAGGAATCCAGCCCCACAGGTTTGGGCAGGTGTCAGGCCACTCAGGTCTCTGGAGGGGCCCACGGACCTGCCCACAAGGCCTCCCATCCTGGAGAACCCCAGCCCAGGGCCTCTTCTGTCCCCTAGACCCAGAGCAGAAACCCACCTCTTGCCTTGGACATAAGGTGACCCACTCATCCTGATGTCCTGACTTGCCCAGGATATTCCGTTTAAGAACTGAGTCTGGTGTCCTGGGGAAACCAGGACAGTTGGGCAGCCTGCAGTCAGGCCTTGCTTCAAGGGCCTGCCAGTTCCACAGGCAGCTCTAAATCCTCACCGTTGTGATGGAGCCGGTGAGGGGCTGCACCCATTGGGGAAGCTTCATGCCCCAAGATGGCACTAAGAGGACCCTAATTTGTTTACATCTCAGTTCTCTGGCTCAACATCTCTACTCTCAAGCAGAGGGAGACCCCACACTACCAGGGCCTGGCCAGCGACATGGGAGGTATGTGCTCAGAGTATGAAGACCCACCCCCACCCCCCTTTTACTTCCCACCTCCAGAGACCAACCCCTGCCAGACATGCCTCCAAGATGGCTGGGTGGCTTTGGCTTCCTCCCACCTGTCTCCCACTTCTCTCTTTGGTGGAAATTTGTCCGAAAACTAGGAGAGACTGGAAGGGAGTGCTCAGAGGAGCTACCCATTGCGGGAGTGTGCATAGAGGTCGGATTCCCAGGGCCCCTAGGCAGGAATGGACTTCCCGCCCTCAGCCCTCCTTAGAAGGAGGCCAGGAAGCCCCAAGCCCTCTCTTGGGTTCCCTGATCTACCTGAATTCAGTTGGATCTGGGAACTGAAGGGTTAAAGTTGGGGCTTAAGCAGGGACTGTGAAGGGGCTGGAATGCCTTTGATATGGAGAGGCAGGACCCCTCACCACAGTTAGCATCTCAATGGCACTTTAACAAGTCCCTTGCATCCCCACCCCCAACTGCCTCCACCCTAGAGATAAGGGAGAACCTCCCCCAACGTGCTACCCTGAGGGGAAACCCCAGCAGTGAACAGTCTCGCCCTCAGCCAGCCCCTTCAGGGAGTGACAGAATTGGACTGGGTCTTTGTTCTCTCTGGGAGGGCGCTGGGGCGGGAGGCTCGGGTGGGCAGAAGAAACTGGAGCTCAGCTTAGATAGGGGTAAGGTGGAAGTGGGTTAACCCCATCATCTACAATATCTCACTCTTTTATTGGGAAGTGTGGCCCAATGACAAAGGAGGGGAACTAATGGTCACCATATCCTCTGTGGAGCTAGGAAGGGTTGGTGGGGGGCCTTAGGGGCTGCACAACAACCCCAAGAGCAGCATTACCTGTTGCTTTGGGGAGGTGCCCGAGGCCTCCAGATTATAAATAGAAAAGCTGGTCCTGACTCCTGAACTGAAAGGTTTGGATCAAACCTTGATGTCCCGTAAAAGTTCTCACCGGTTTTACAACCCCTATTTTACAGACAAGGATACAAGTTCAAGGAGCTAAGGTAACGTGGCCAAGTGTACATGAGCAAAATAGGACAAACCTGATGCAACCCTAGACCCTGACTTCAAAGCCAGCTCCTTGGCCAGCGCTGCCCGCCGAATTTCCAGGGGGTAATCGGGGCCTCCCGGTGCATTTCTCTGAAGGCTGTAGCAAGGCCACCCCAGGGCTGACCCTCTCAGGGTCACCCCACCTGCATCCTGCCCCTTGCCTCTGGAGCCAGCCATCCCCTTCTTCCCCCAACTCCTCAAAAAACCTGGAAGAATCCCCACTGAGAGCGACATCTGCATCTTATTCCACAGGAAGCCACCCTCCACCCTGGCTCACTTTCGCGGAGTGTGGGAGTGTGTGTCCCTGATGCTGAGAGCACCGTGTTTGCTCACCACCCGCAGGGGCAGCTTACTGGACTCTGGGTCAGACCTGGTGTCAAGCCCACCCCAGGGCCTCTACGGGCAAGTCACAACTACCCTAATCTCAGGTGCCTCCTGGCTGTAAAACGGAGAAAGAAGTCTGCCCTGCCTACCTCCAGAGACGCCAAAGGCATTTGCCCAGACTGCCAGCACCTCATACACCTTGGGGATCACTATAGGTATAGATAAGTGCATTTTGTTAAGAACATAATGGCATTTCACTTATAAACCTGGGCAGACTCCATTGATTGGGTAGCAGTTAACTTTATTATCAATCATAATTGTCAGCTTTGAACCAGCAGCAGTTACCTATCTGGAGTTTTTTTTTTTTTTACTTTATTGGGGAACAGTGTTTTTCCCAGGACCCATCAGCTCCAAGTCAAGTTGTTGTCCTTCAATCTTAGTTGTGGAGGGCACAGCTCAGCTCCAAGTCCAGTCGCCGTTTTCAATCTAGTTGAGAGAGGTGCAGCCCACCATCCCATGCAGGAGTCCAACGGGCAACCTTCTTGTTAAGAGCATGCGCTCTAACCAACTGAGCCATCTGGCCACCCACCGGCAGCTCATCTTAAGTCATTGTCCTCAATCTAGTTGCGGAGGGTGCAACTCACTGGTCCATGTGGGAATCGAACCAGCAACCCTATTGCTCAGAGCTTGAGCTCTAACCAAGCCACCTGGCTGCTCCCCCATCTGGAGTTTTGAGGGTGGGGTTGCCCCCTCCTCGACTTTGTCTTCTTAAAACATACACATTGTGTTGTCCTTCCTGTTTATTGTCTGATCCTTAGCTGAAAGGGGAGGGAGGCTATAGGGCCTAAAGAGGGTAGAGGAAGCAGCAGGCCAGCCAGAATGGGAACTTGGCCATAATTCAGCCAAGGGGAAAGACCATCACTCTATTTTCTCCCTAGACCAGTGAGAGCTTCACCAAGGTACCGGTGCCTTTGGCTCCTGCCCAGGGACTCCAAGGGTACCAAAGGCTCCGGGTCAGCGAGGGGATAGGGCCTAAAACACAGTAAGGGAAGCTGGGAAGTCAGCTCAGGAGTTGGGCCAGTCCTAAAGGGGAGAGAACGCTGCCAATATGGATTAGATGGTGGTCC